TTTGAGGGGACGTCGGTCTGGTTTAATTCGGGGTTGTTGGTCTTGAGTCGTCTGTATCTTGAATTCTCGGTGTCTTGAGTCGTATGTATCTTGACTTCTCAGTGTCTTGAGTCGTATGTATGTTGAACTCTCCGTGTCTTGAGCAGTATGTCTCTTGAACTCCTTGTGTTTTGAACTCTCTGTATATTGAGCTTTCTGTGTCTTGAACTCTCGTCGTCTGTACTCTGAGGAGGAGGAGGAGGAGGAGGAGGAGGGAGGAGGAAGAGGAGAATACATTTTGAGGGGGCGTCGGTCTGGTTGAATTCGGGGTTGTTGGTCTTGAGTCGTCTGTATCTTGAATTCTCGGTGTCTTGAGTCGCATGTATCTTGAACTCTCCGTGTCTTGAGTAGTATGTATCTTGAACTCCCTGTGTTTTGAACTCTCTGTATCTTGAGCTTTCTGTATCTTGAACTCTCGTCGTCTGTACTCTGAGGAGGAGGAGGAGGAGGGAGGAGGAGGAGGAAGAGGAGAATACATTTTGAGGGGACGTCGGTCTGGTTTAATTCGGGGTCGTTGGGTTGCCCGAGTTGCGGAAGTGGAGAAGACATCTTGAGGGGACGTCGTTCTGGTTTAATTCGGGGTTGTCGGGTTGCCCGAGTTGCCTTCCCCTGTGGTGTTCCGCGGGGCCCGGAGGAGGGAGGAGGAGGAGGAGGGAGGAGGAAGAGGAGAAGACATTTTGAGGGGACGTCGGTCTGGTTTAATTCGGGGTTGTTGGGTTGCCCGAGTTGCGGAAGAGGAGAAGACATTTTGAGGGGACGTCGTTCTGGTTTAATTCGGGGTTGTTGGGTTGCCCGAGTTGCCTTCCCCTGTGGGATTCCGCGGGGCCCGGAGGAGGGAGGAGGAGGAGGATGAGGAGGGGGGAGGAGGAGGAGGAAGAAGAGGGAGGGGGATGAGGAGGAGGAGGAGGGAGGAGGAAGAGGAAAAGACATTTTGAGGGGACGTCGGTCTGGTTTAATTCGGGGTTGTTGGGTTGCCCGAGTTGCGGAAGAGGAGTAGACATTTTGAGGGGACGTCGTTCTGGTTTAATTTGGGGCTGTTGGGTTGCCCGAGTTGCCTTCCCCTGTGGGGTTCCGCGGGGCCTGGAGGAGGGAGGAGGAGGAGGAGGAGGGAGGAGGAGGAAGAAGAGGGAGGGGGGTGAGGAGGAGGAGGAGGGTGGAGTTAGAAGAAAAGACATTTTGAGGGGACGTCGGTCTGGTTTCATTCGGGATTGTTGGGTTGCCCGAGTTGCCTTCCCCTGTGGGGTTCCGCGGGGCCCGGAGGAGGGAGGAGGAGGAGGAGGAGGGAGGATGAGGAGGAAGAAGAGGGAGGGGGATGAGGAGGAGGAGGAGGAGGGAGGAGGAAGAGGAGAAGACATTTTGAGGGGACGTCGGTCTGGTTTAATTCGGGTTGTTGGGTTGCCCGAGTTGCGGAAGAGGAGTAGACATTTTGAGGGGACGTCGTTCTGGTTTAATTCGGGGCTGTTGGGTTGCTTTTGGTTTGTTTTTCTCGGTTTGCTCACGTGGGCTATCCCGTGCAATCTTGGATGCTGTCTTGTGTCATCTTGAATGACCCAGGATGCTATCAAGAGGGCCCCAAGATGGCCCAACAACCTGGGATCCCAGTTGATCCAAGGAGAGCTCCCCCTTGGGCCGGACTCGCATGATCTTCATTGACCCCGCCATGCCGTCGGGCCTCGCAATCCGTGCGAACGAAGGGCCCTCGTGAGAAGCAAGAGGTAGAGGAAAGGGAAGAAGAGGAGTAGGAAACCGAGGCGCGAGGAGAAGGGGAGCTGGTCGAGGTGAGTTCAATACGGACTTCGCGCCCGTTTGATTTCGGGGCGGGCGTAGCAGTGCACGGATGCGCGGTTGAATGGGGGCGACGGGGACGACGGTAAGTATGATGTGGGTTGGGAGGTGGATAACTATGAAGAAAAGGGGGAGGAGGACAGAACAATGAACCAGGAGAGGATTAAGTAACGAATGGAGTAGGTGGGCGACGAGGAGGACATGGAGGAGGCGGAGGAATACACGGAGGAGGCAGAGGACGACGAAAACGACGACGAGGCAGAGGACGGAGGTAGCTCGGGTGGGCCTTGTGGGCCGTCTTGGTCGCCCCTTGGGGGCCGTCTTTTGCAGTCTTCGGGATCTCGTGGGGCTTGTTGGGGATTGTCTTGGACCATGTGGGCGCCATCTATGGCAGACATGGATGTCGACAACTGTGAAGTTAGAGCCTCCTGGGGGATTCTTGAAGCCATCTTGGGGCCACGTTGGGAGCCTTGTCAGTCAGTCAGTCAGTCAGTCTGTCTGTCTGTCTGTCTGTCTGTCTGTCTGTCTGTCTGTCTGTCTGTCTGTCTGCCTGTCTGTCTGTCTGTCTGTCTCTCTCTCTCTCTCCCTCTCTCTCTCTCTCTGTCTCTCCCTCGTGATTTGCACTCCCGTGATCATCGACTCTCTCCTTCCCATCTGTGACGGCGTGCCTGCCCTTGCCATGCCGCCCCCGAATAAAACCAGACCGACGTCCCTATGGAAACCGTCCCCAGGAATATGTCTGACGCGTTGCAACATGACGTCGCTCCTCATTTGTGCGGCGTTTGTTTTGTTCGTCCACTGCGCTGCCACGTTACGATGGGGTCTGCCCGCATGCGCTCGGACTTGGCGTTGCCACGCGGCGAGCTGCACACACGATTAAGTCGAATAGTATTTGTCCACACTCCTCTGGTACCGTGAGGCCGCAGCGTGTGCGGCGCTCTAGCCGCTCGTCCTCCCTTTTCTTCTTCCTTTTCGTTCCTCATCTCTTGCTGCTGCTGCTGCTCCTCGTCGTCCATCGCCGTTCGGGTTCAACTTTGCATTAGACTGCTTCGAAAAGGGCCGCCTTCCAGCACGCGAGCTGCTAGTGTAATCTGGCACCATGGCAGACACCAAGACGACCAAGAAGACATTCCAGAAGGTCGTGGCGGACTTCATGAAAAGCGTGTCGGGGGAGAAGCTGGAGAACAAATACCTCAACGGAATGGTGACCATTATGAAGTCTCTCACTGACAACCCAGACAAAATCATCCTGATGGTGGCCGACCTGGAAGTGGATGCCTCGAATGAGCCGAGCAAGCCGGACACGGCCAAGGAGAAGGATATCGATTGGGAGGCCATCGAGAATGCAGGCCAGATATCGAAATGGTACGTCTGGGCGTGGATCAATTCCAAGCTCCAGGGAACAGAGCACGAGTTGACGTCAGAGGCTATGGAGTTGATAGACCGTAAATCAGGACAGGGCACTTCGAAGGACATCGCCGAGATCGTGACGGGGATCAACCCCCGTACCAAGATCCCGCCAAAGATGCGTCCCAGGCCCGTCATATTCGAGATTTACGATAGGCGCTACGTGATGATGTGCAGGAGCTTGGTTGTTTTCTTCGAGAAGTACGTGGACCTTGCGACCGGGATCATCGACTGGCTGGCCGCCAATCCGTACGTTGTTGTCAACGCCGATGGCGGTGCTCAGACAGTGAAACATATCCAGACGCAGGTGGAGGTGTCGGTGCGCCGCGGTATCACTATCGACAGCGCCTGGAAGCCCGTAAACCCCTGGAGCGATGTCAGCATGAAGTGGGTGCTGGACAGGACCCCCTATGTCCCTGCCCAACACATCACGTTCGAGCCCGGCAGCGTGTTCCACAACGTCGTGATGAGGAACAACGACCACATCGAGGAGATGGTGAACGAGTTCCTGGATGTGAAGGAGAAGGCCGCGAAGGCAGCCTCGGGCGCCAACCTCGCCATCACTGACACGGTCGCCGAGGCGCAGTCTCGGCGCAAGAAGCGTCGCCTCACTGGTGCTCCAGCGCCAGAGATGGCAGGGGCGCCCGAGCATCCGTCGGGCGGGGTCACTTCGCCCGCTGCCTCGCCCGCTGCCTTGTCGCCGCCTGAGACTCCTGGGGTGCAAATTGCGGACGCCACGGGCACGTCGTAGATCCTTCGCCGTAGGATAGCGCGCGTCAGGAGGGCGCGAGGGTTTTGCCAGATGCAGTTTTGACTTTTCTTCATCGCTGTCTGCGCAGCGCGCGGGCATCGGGGATGCGCCTCTGCTAGGGGATCGAGCGCGAGAGGCGCCAGGGGAGGATTGCGAGCTCACAAACGCGAGGCCGATCACGGTGACCTCAGCCAGAAAACTTCGTTAGTCTGTCGTGGCCGCCAGTCGTCGATTCAACGTCGGAAACGAAGTGCGCGGGCGCCCCAGGGCGCCCGTGCTCGCTCCATGATGCGCCCCTGGCCCTCCGCGTGGACGCGGGCACCCAATCGCGTCGGACTCCGTCCCATCGTCCGCAGCCGTGTTTGCCCGGGCATATCTTTCAGGGGCTTGGCAGCCAATCGAACGGAGATTGTTTTTTTTATCCTCTGGGGGGTAACGCTCGTTACCCGGGCCTCTCCCCCCCCCCCCCCCCCGTAACGGTAACGCTCGTGCGCGGGGGGGGTCTCGGTCTTCCCCTCCAACATGCTGGTGCCCGAAGGCATGCGCACTGTGGTGTGGTGGTCGCAGGCGCACTGTGGGCGCTCGCAGGCCATTGCGGCGCTCGCATGCGCGATGCTGGTGCTTGCGGGCTTTGCGCTTGTACTCGAATCGTCGTCGTCGTCGTCGTCGTCGTCGTCGTCGTCGTCGTCGTCGTCGACCTCGTCGCTCGTCGCTCGTCGATCATCGTCGTCGCGCGCGCGGGCGCGGGCGTGGTGCCGGGACCACGCGGCGGGCTTTGCGCTTGTACTCGAATCGCAAGCCACTGTGGTGCTCTCAGGCAGAGAGTGCTGCTCGCGCGCATACTATGGCGATCGCAGAGCGCCCCTGCTTCGCCATGCCCCGCCCCGCCCAAGCGTTACCGTTACCCGGGGGGCACGACCCCCCCCCCCCCCCCCCGGGTAACGAGCGTTACCGGCCGGAATTAAAAAATGATCTCACGACATGTTGTTGCGGTTGCCACGTGTCTCGGAGAGTCGGCATGGCGTTGGTCCTCCCAGGGGGCGGGCAGTTGAGGCACCAACGAGATATACGCCTCAGGGTCGACCACGGCCCTCCGCGCAGGTACTGGCTTGTCTGGGATCATATGCAGCAGGCGCACGAGATCGGGAACCCTCCTGCAGGGGAGGCGTGGGCCGTGGAGTACGACGAGAAAGGGTGCGCGCACCTCGAGTCGAAGTCGGAGGAGCAGACCTCAGTGCCTGCGGGACGGTGCCAGACACATCGAGATCGCAGATGCTGTTGGTGAGTGGCTGGAAGTCACGGACCCCCAGAGATGCGAGTATTTCCTTGGCAAGCTGCTTGAACTCCTCATGGATCTCGACATGGAGGAGCGCATCACCGAGGAGGGCATCGCTGGGACAGTTCTCAAGCTTGTCAAAGAACACCCCGCTTTTACCAACAGGTATGCGTCTGCTAGTTCGAGCAGGTTCATGGGCGCCGTGACGCGTGCCATTGAAGGAGACGCGGTTTTCGCATTGCGAGGGCTTGGGTTTTCGATTCTCAATGCTATGCGCGGCAACGTGGACCCCAAGAAATTCCTACTATTGGAGCAGACGTCTGCCTCAATCACGGTCCCTGCCGGCGCGGCGCCACTGCCCCCAACGAAACAAGCCAGCAACCAGGTTTCTGAGATGAGGAAAGCGACGAAGGATGCCTCCGAGATCGCGATGCTCATGCACGAGAACCCTGACAACAGGTTTAAGCAGCGCATCATCGCAAGCATCGGCGAACGCTACAAGAAAGCATTTGGAGATCGCTCCAGGAGGTGCAGAAGTGTCGAGGGCGCGGTGAAATGGCAATTGGAAGCTCTGCGAGGCACATTTTTCAATCCTATATGTGGCACCTTCGACATTTTTAACCAGCCGTGGGAGTTGGAACACATTGGGTTGTCCACCACATTCCGTAACGCCCCTGCCCTGGACTTGGACCACCCCATGGTTGCGTGGGAGCAAGAACAAGCCAATTGGCCGCGAAGTTCGCCTTGACCATGGCCGGCAACAAGATCAGAAGAACATTGCATCTTCTCCGTGGCCCTCTTCGTCAATCCGTCCTACTGCTCGATCCTGAGCGCGCCCCGGGCTTCCTTGATCAGGTCAGGAGGGACTTGGAGAACTTCAGGAAGTTGGACGGTGTGAAGGACGCGTTTATCAAGAAGGTCGTCCGCCGTTCCACCTTCAGCGGTCTCCCGGGCAAGCAGCTCTCGAATGTCTGCGAGGAGGCAGGCTTCGAACCTACCCCTCGTCTGCTCGATTGGGCCAAGCGAAAGCAGTACCGCATCGTCGGCAGCAGAGTGTGCGAGGACGCTGGGAACCGAGCCCGCCGCGCACAGGAAAAAGCCAAGACCAACGAGTTCAGCGCTTCCAAGGTCTGGGAGACGCTCATCCGCAAGGAGGTGTTGAGCAAGGTCCACAAGTTTCAGGACCTCTGCACGCGTGGACAGAGGACACCTCGGAACCCAAAGCTCCCCAAGAAGATGTATAAGCCTGCGCCGAGGAGCGCCAACAAGAGAATCAAGCTGTCCCAGATCATCTCATTCTCCAGCACTCCGCCGTGGAATTCCCCTGGCGTTGCTAATTCCAATCAGTGCGTCGCCGATGCGTACCTCACCGAGTGGGCCATTGCCAACGACAAGCAGGGGGACATGAGGTATTGCTGGATGTGCGCGATCGCCGGCAAGGGCCTCTTGCTTCTTCGGCAGGGCGGCGCTGCCAACCCTTGGTTCGCGGTCCTGGGCAATGAGAGCGACGTCGTCTTGCTCGTCCACCCAGTCGTCGAGGATGCTGCCCGCGGCGTCTACAAGCTGGCGGTCGACGACGACGCGAAGAAGGTGCACGCCGTGGTCATCTGCAACCCCGCCGACGTGGAGGCGATCCCCGTCGCCGTCGACCCTCCGGTGAACGTGTACGCGCGGAACGGGGCCGATGCAGCTGCCGTCGACATAGCAACCATGCGCGCGCCTTTCAAACCAATCCGCGGCCCTGAGAACCTGTATCGGGCCGTGGCGCGCGAGGCCTTTTACGACTTCAAGCTGCCCTTCCTGAGGGAAGTCGGGAAGGTTGGCGTGCCAGAGTTCGATCGGACGTTGAACCTGTTCGAGACGTTGCGGATCCTCGTGCAGCATTTCCTGCCCGAGCTGGCCCCGGGTGACCTTTCGGCCACCTTGCAGAAGCGGACCACGGCGAGTTTCTTCAACTTCGAGGAGTTTTACGAGCTTGACGAGTGCGACGACGTCATCCCGAAGGACGACCAGAAGAAGGCGAGGCAGAAAGTGAAGGATTACAAGAGCATGAAACTCGAGACCGACGAGTTCACGGAGCACTGGCTGGAGTATAACCGCAAGGTGCATGCTCTACCTGAGCGAGCGGAGCCTGATGCCTCCAAGCCAGAGACCCCTTTGCACAGGTGCAAGGGGCCGCTCTGGCTGCCGAAAGGCGCTATCACCCAGCCAGAAGCTTCTCGGATGTGCCCCCCGAACGCGAGCATCTGGCGATGCAACGCGGGAACGGGAGGGTGGCACGTGCACCCGATGCCGTATCCTAGATGGTCCAGGCCGTGGGTTCCGTTCGGCCATGACAAGGCGTGCCAGTTGGTGTTGCAGTACGCCTGGGTGCTCTGGCTACGGGATAATCGTCTCCGCCCGGGTGATTGCCCGATCGACGGCCTTTTCACGCTTGGCCAGGAGCGCTTCAAAGATGTCCTCGACGCTGTGTTCCGCGGGGACATGGCGGTCGGCAAGAAGACTCCTTGCTCTGGCTCGGGCACCGCTGCCGTCTTCCAGCTCCGGCGCAGCCGTCGCATTGGCCGCGCCCGCAGCAGGCGCCGCTGCGCCAGCGAAGGCTGGGGCGAAGGCCCCTGCGGGGAAGCCGAAGGCGAAGGGGCTGGCCGCGAAGGCGGCCGCGAAGCCGGCCGCGAACGCCTTCGACGCGGCCGCGAAGGCGGCCTTCGACTAAAAGGTCTTGGATATATATAGGCTGGGCCGCCTTCGTCGTTGAACAGGCTATTTTCAGTGCATGCCGTGTCTTGCCCACTCTGCGCGCGCGGGGTGCGCGCCGTTGCTGCGGGTTGCAGGCAGAGACCTGGGGGCAAGACGATGTGGGCCGCTACGTCGATCAATATCCAACGCCATCGTTCATGCCGTTGTCGTCGCGCGCGCCGTCAAGCAGGAGAAACCGTCAGGCAGGGAACAAGCAAGATATTGATGAAATGGAGGAGGGTGAAGAGAAGGAGGGGGCGAAGAGGAGGAGGAGGAGGAGGAGGAGGAGGAGGAGGCGACGGAGCAGACAAGCAGTCGTCCGACCACACCGCTGCATATGCCTCCATCTTCCTGTCGATGTGCTCGCCCTTCCGCGACTGCAATCGCTTCGCGCCTTCCGCCGGCCATCGTTGTATAATTGTTGCCATTCGCCCGTGTGCTCGCGGGGTCGTGGAAGTAGCTGGGTCGTGGTAGTTTCACGGAGCTGCCGTTTCGGAGTCGCACGGGGGGAAGCAGCCGCTAGGTACACCAGAGGGTGGATAAGAGGAGGACGGGGATGAAAAGAGGAGGAGGTGGAGGATGAGAAGGGAGAGGAGGAGGATCATGAAAAGTCGGAGGAAGAGGAGGAGGAGGAGGAGGAGGAGGAGGAGGAGGAGGAAGAGGAGGGGGAGGAGGAATGGCAACGAGGAAGAACGAGGAACACCCCCTGCGGTCCCAGAAAGGGGTCTTGGAAAGACCACCGAACAATGCGCGAGAACTTACCCTCGACCCCCTGAGGGCTTGTTGGGCGCATTATTGGCCCATCTTGGGACGCTGTGGGGTGTGGTCTTCTTGGGATTTTTTGGGCTGTCTTTGGTCCCGGGCCGTCTTTGGGCCTTCTAGGCCGTCTGGCCTTGGGGCCGTCTGGGGGCCGTCTTCGGCTGAGCCGTCTAGGGTGTCTCCTGGGCAATCTGGAGGCGCTCTCGGGGCCCTGTTGGGCCATTTGTGGGCCCTGTGCCGCCCTTTTGGGGCGAGTTAGGAGGCTTCTCGGGCGGTCTTGAGCTGAAGTTTGTTCGGGAAAAAAGGTTGTCTTCAGGCCCTCTAGCGGCCCTCAGGTCCTTTAAGGTCTTCTTCAAGCCCTCTAGCGGCCTTCTTCGGCCAGCTTGGGGCTCTCTTGGAGCCGTTGTCAGGCCGTCCTGGTACCATGTTGGGCAATTTTGGGGCCCTCTTGGGCCGTTCTCGGCATTCTCGGATGCCTTTTTGTAACGCATTGCGCTGAAGCGATTCGAAAAGGTAAAGATCGCAAATCGTTCAAACACGCAATGGGGATCGTTGATATTAGTGTCATCAGGCCCTCTTGGGGATGTCTTTGAAGCTTTCTTGGGCCATATTGGGGCCGTCCTGTGCCTTCTTGGGGCTCTGTTGGGCGGTCTTGGGGTCGTATTTGCTGTTTGGAGGGTCTCTTGGGGATCTCAAGGACCGTCGAGGAGCCTTCTAAGGTCGTCTCTGGTTCCTCCAGTGGCCCTCTGGCACCAGCCTGAGGCTCTCTTGGGGCCGCCCAGGGACCGAGGCCGTTTTGGGGCCCTCTTCTTTGCCCTCTTGGGCCGTCTCTGGGCCTTCTCAGAGGCCTCTTGGGACGTCCTGAGCTGAAGAAAGCTCAAATAGATGAAGAAGCGCGAATGTTCAAGCACGCAAACACACCAAACAAATCATGTTGGATCTTCGGGTTCTATATGCTGGGAGCCTCGTGGAGGCTTCGTGCAGCGTCTTGGCGATTTCTCGGGGCGTCTTGAAGGGCTCTTGGGGCGTTTTGGAGGCCCTTTGGTGCCGTCGTTGAAGACCATCAGGCTAGCTGGGACCATCTTGGACCGTCCTGCGGCAATGTTGAAACCACTTTCAGGTCTTTAGTGGCCGTCTTGTGGCCAGCACGGGGCCTGGCAGATACTGACCAGCGCTGTTGGTGCGTTCTTGGCACGCTTTCGCCCGCTTTTGGGGCGATTCGGGTTTCATTTACGTAGGTCCGGAGACCCCCCAGGGCCGCCCTCGCGCGCGGGAGCTAGATATCTAAACCTCCCGACCAGAACAATTGTGTGGAGGATCTAACACTCCTTTGGCCCAGCGGGTTCTCGCTCTTCCGTCCGCCCGTCGGTGGAGTCGCATTGGATAGAGATAAGCATCCACCAGGGGCAAAACATCGTGGCTACCGGGGCCCAGTGCCTCCCCCCTGGCTGACCGTTCCTGCCTTGCCTTCAGGCTCCGCGGCCTGCGACGCGCCGCAAGATTGGCCTCGAGGCCCCGTGTGGGATTCTCTGCCGGCGGCGCATTGGACCCCACTCGGGTGTCCAAGGGCACGATAGAAACCCCAAGAGCACAGCAAATCAAACAATACAGCACCCATCGAATATTAACAGTTCCACCCCGTTCTTCCCCTTCGGAGGGGAATTACGCCTCCTCCATCTCCCCCCGCCATTTCCCCCGCGACCAGTTAGAAGGTTCAGTATTGCCACAATGGCTCCAACGTGGCCTTCGATGGTCCTAGATTGTTCAAGATGAGTTCCGGCGTGCTTTGGGAAATTGCCAAGACCGCTTTGGGACGGCCCCCAGTGGCCACGGGGCCTCCAGAGGTTGGCACCAAGACGCCAACGCTTTCAATAGGGCTTTGTTTCAATATGTTTTGGCCAATTGCTTTTCCGCCCAGACGGGTTTCCAAAACCTCAGGGCGGCTGCAGGCTCGCTCTCGGGGGGCCCCAAGAGGGGTCCATTGTGGCCTCAAGGTGGCCCCCATGAGTGGCCAAGAACGCCGCATGCGAGCCCCATCGGGCTCCGACACGGAAAATGACATCGAAGGCGTCACATATCTGATCGCTGGCCCCCAGTATTGCTCTCAAATCGCACCGAAGATCCCCAACAGGGCGTCAGTAGACTTCCAAGAAGCCCCTGGCAGTTCCCAAAATTAAACCACGTGGCCCCCAAACTATCTCCCAGCGGGCCCCTACAGGAGGCGCCGCCGCTGCCGTCGTCCTTTCCCCTCCATGTTCCTCCTCCCCCTCCCCCCCTCCTCCTCCTCCTCCTCCTCCCCCTCCCCCTCCTCCTCCTCCTCCTCCTCCTCCTCCTCCTCCTCCTCCTCCTCATCCTCCTCCCACTTCGTCGTCGTCCTCCTTCTCCGGTTTCCATTGTAGCTCGACGTATTCCTCTTGCTTCGGATCATGGTTATCTGCGAGGGGACGCAGCGTAGGCGTAGGCACTCGTTCTGTTTCCAGCGTTACGCTTGAAAGGTTCTTCGGGCGGATGCGCGCGGTGCCCAAGTGACATCCCCACTTTGGAAGGGAACCGCCCTACATCCGTGTAGCTGTTGGGAAAGGGAGGGTGTAGGCGGTATGAAGGCGAGAGCCGCGTTTTGAAATCAGTTTGCCTTTGAGCAGTCTAGCTTGTCCGGAATGCGCGGCGATGCGGCGAGCTCCACATCATATTCAGGTGAAGCGCCAGGAATGCCCCATCGGCACGCCTGGTGAAACGAGGAGGAGGGGGCCGATCTACAAGGCAGAGGGATGGAAAAGGACGGGGAGGACAACATCTCCACCGCCTTCTCCTCCTTCCTTTCCTCCCCCATCCCCTTTCGCGTTTCCTCTCCGTTTTCTTCTTTTTCCTCCCAACTGCACTTGCTCAACATGTATACTACCCTCCTCGCTCCTCTGTCCCTGTCCTGAAAATGTCCCTCCCTATCCGCGCATGGTTCTCTTACAAACAAGACTTCGACAGTTGAGCTGCATCGAGATGTTTTTCATTTCGATCGTGGTTGAAGTTTCAAAATGGTGCCCTCGCTGCAGCGCAGGCTTTGTTCGGATCAGCGCGTTGTTCCCATCGTTCAGAATGGCATTCTCGCCCTTGCGCGGGCCATGTTTTTTGAGCCGAAACATCTTCCATCGTTGTCGCCCCTCCCATTTCCCATCCTCCGCCTTCCCCTTGTCCTCATTCACCTCCCGCTCCTTCCACTCCAGCTCCTGCTGCTGCTGCTGTTCGTCCTCGGTCTCCTCCTCCGTCTCCTCCGCATTCCGCATCCTTTTATTGTTTCTCCTGCTCATCCTCCTGCTTATCCGCCACCTCCTCCATCCTTCTTTCTTATGAATAACTCCTCCCTGCCGCACCCCGGGACGGGCTTCTAAGGCGGGCCAGGCGTTTCATTTGAGCGTTTTATTTGAGCCTCCCTCACCATTCATGATATTGGAGGTTGCATTTCGCAACCGTTTCACGGATGGAGGGCGGGTGTTTTCAACATGTGGTTCTCGCCCAAGCGCCGCGCACACTCGTCTTAAATGTTTGCAAGTGTTTCATGGGTGGAGGGTGGGTCTTTTTTAACATGTGTGTATCGCTGTAGCGCCGCGAACATTCGCTTTACGAGCTTGCGGCGTTTTCACGGATGGAGGGTGGTCTTTGCTCAGCATGTAATTCTCGCCTTAGCGCAGCGCGCATTCGTCTTCACAGTTTTACAGCAGTGTCAGGGACTCTCCTGGTTGACGTACCAGGAAAAGCGTTGAAGGCACGATTCAGGATTGTCAGGGCGCGGCAGTCACGTTGATACGCGGTGTTGATTTCTCAGATCTGGTGTTCTGGCATGAGTTAGGACTGTCAGGTCGCGCCAGTAACGTCGACTTGCGGCGTTGATGTTCCAGGTCTTGTGTTTTAGCACGGTTGAAGTTTCATACGGGTGTCTTCCAAGGGGGCTCTTCCCGCAGTTACGACAATCTTTACGTGAGCCTATGAGGAGGGAACTTGGAGAGAGGGCGTGCTGCAACATCAGGGAGGCCAGATTTGACGCGAGTGCACCTAGCTTGTCGCCTCGCGGTCGCCCTCCTCCTCCTCCTCATGCCCCTCCCGCCCCCCTCCTCCCCCCCCCCTCCCCCCCCCTCTGCGCCCTGCGCTCCTGCACGATGCGTCCCGTGAACGTAAGATGCCCAAACTCGAACCATATTCCTTGAAATGGCGATTGAGACTACCGCC